TTAAAGCCATAACATGTTTAACACTAACCTGAGTCTGACATGGTGCTGGCGCAGATTGGATGATGCTGGAACAGATTGGCAGCGCAAGGGATAGAAGTTCTTCTCCTGAGGATCCGATCCTTATAGCTATAACTCTGATGGGTGAATTTCTGTTTAGCTGTGTTGTGTTATTCGGATCTAGGAGGGAGCCTTCTATTTATATGCATCTCTCTAAGTGTCTTGCCCATCAAGAAACACTTAGAGATATCCTTCATGCTATAGGATTAATCCATTTCAATCCTTGTAGAACTAGGAACCCTTAAGCCTTCATTATCCTTATTGAACACTGTTTGAGGCTTGCCTAATCGAGATAGGTTTTGAGTTCCTAATAAACAATAAGTCTTTGTAATCCTAAGTTGATTAGAAGATCACTTTAGTAGGTTTAATGTAATAAACCTTCTTACACTTTATGCATGCGAGTTGAGGACCAAAATATGATCCGCGACTCTTTAAGCTTTCTGCTTGATTTTTCTGGCTTCGGGACTTCTCTCAAGGAAAATTTCCGTTCACCAAGTAGTCAATAATGGGATCTTGCCAGTTGGGGTTGTCATCGATCTGCATCATGTCGGATGCTCTACTTCTTCAATGCTTGATTGATCAAGGTATTTTGACTTGGACTTTTGGTGAAAAATAGATGTTTAAACAATCTAAAATATGAAAATAAAAATAGTCGTTAACTTGTTACACCTAAATATAAATCGAGCTTAAAAATCAAATCCACGTTTTCTCGTGCGTGTATTTGACATCGTGGATGTTCTAGAAGGCTTTTAATTATGGCCGACACTTTTAAAAGATATTTTACATCGTGTTAAAGTTGAGATACCTGCCTCCTCGAAGTAGCTATAAATAGGAACCACTTCTTTAATTTACAACCACTCAACACGCTTTCGTGTCCTTCCCAATTTACATCTTGTAATAGTACGTATACTCATCATCATCTTCTGAGTTAAGTTTTAAGCGAAGGCTCCACTTGCTGTTGCACAAACCATGGACACATTGAAAGTAACAAGCATCAAATCACTTGCTGAATCCCCTGCCCTCAACTCAGTTCCTTCCACATATGCCTTCAACATAAACCCCAACGAAGAAGCAGATCCAAACGATCCTGAATTCGCAATTCCCATTGTTGATATGTCTCTTCTCACCTCGGGGTCTCCTGATCAACGGTCAAAAATCATTCACGACCTCATAAAAATTTGTCAAGAATGGGGCTTCTTCATAGTAATTTTGATCTACATATATTATATCTACAGTAGTTATATTACAAACTTAATAATTGATTAACAATTTATTAACCATTGCGATGCAATTTTAATTCCAGGCCATTAACCATGGAGTGCCAGAGAGCCTCATGAAGGCGATGATTGACGCTTGTCATGGATTTTTCACTCTTCCTGACAAGGAGAAGCAGGAGTTTAAATCGGGTAACGATGTGCTAGAGATGTTCGAGTATGGCACCAGCTTTAATCCGGCCACGGATAAAGTCCTCCTGTGGAGGGACTTCTTCAAGGTGAGAGTACATCCAGAGTTCTACTCCCTCTACAAACCGAGTTGCTTCAGTGAGATATCAAGGGAGTTCAGCAAGAGAAGCCGAGAGGTTGCGTTGGAGATAACAAGAGCAATCTCAGAAAGCCTGGGATTGGAGCCAAACTACATATACGACGCAATGAACATGGATCGTGGCTTGCAAATGCTGGCCGCCAACTACTACCCACCATGCCCTCAGCCAGAACATGCAATTGGTATACCTCATCACACTGATCATGGCCTAATCACTCTCCTCATCCAGAATGAGATGAATGGCCTCCAAGTTGAGCACAACGGGAAATGGCTCACTGTCGATGGCCCTACCAACGGTTTCTTTGTTAACCTTGCTGACCAGATGCAGGTAATTTTATTTTTATTTTTATTTTTATTTATCTCACATTAAACAACTTCAAGAAGAAGCAAAAGAGTAGGCTAACCTCATTTGCCTTGCCACATCAGCATTTTCATGCTCCAAGGAAAGAGGGAAATGGGTAGATTCTCTTAGCTCAACTTGGTTGCCTATTCTTTTTCTCTGTAAGATTGCTTTCTGCATTTGGAAACTTGGGTCATATGCATCAATCGCATGTTTGACGATTCAAGTTTGATTCAATTCATGGTTTTCAACAGATTCTTACTAACGGCAAATACAAGAGTGTGATGCATCGGGCCACCTTGAACAACAAAGCTACACGAATCTCTATCGCCATACCACATGGACCATCTGTGGATACAATTATTGCCCCAGCTCCAGAGTTAATGGAAAAAGAAGGTGAAGCTCCTAAATACCTTGCAATGAACTATAAGGAATATATACAACTTCAACGAAGTGGCAAGATCTACATGAAGTATACCTTTGATCACATACGAGCCTAAGCATTTTGCTTCAACGACACTTCAACTATAATGAAAGAGCTGCAGCATCTTTTTTTTTTTTTTTTTGTCTTTTGTTTTTTCTTTCAATAATCGTGTCATCTTCGTCCTGTATTTTTATTGGGGTTTTCTTGCAGTTGGACTATGCTCCAACAATTAATGATTATTTATGCTTGATAATCCCCAGGGCTTTCCACATATAAGCCTATATTTCTAGAAATGGGGTTCATTATAAATTTCTCTAATCGCTCCTTGGAATCCTTTTAGTTTACACACTATATATTATCCGTTTTGGTGCATAACTCTTCTCTGAACAAAAGTCCTTTCTTTGGAGCAGACTTCATATGATCTTCACTAAGAGAATGTATGAACTCTTAGTCAAGATCACGCAATTAAGTTGCTGATCGAATATTGATAAATTTTCACTTGTGACCAAATACAACATCAAGTTGAATTGATCGAGAGAGAATCACGCACACTTTATGAAATGCACAATTTATATTTATCGAGTCAAAATAGAGTGAGGTATATAAATAAGAGGATTAGATCCTGTGGTTACGGACTATAGAGTCGGAGGTACCAAAAGCGTGTAGGAAAATCATGATCAAGAATAACGGACCAAAAATAACATCTACTTGTTCTTTTAACATTGGAAATAAATAGTTTAATTAAATAGAACCTTCCATGACACTTGAGTCTCCTCATCAGATCTAGATGCCGGATATAGATTTTTGTTTTTTGTTTTTTTATAGACGGTAATATTTGAATGAGACTTCTACAAATTTTAGCTTACGTATGAAGATTTGGTAAGAAAATTCCAAATTTCATTTGGATTTATATGGAACTTACCATGTACTTTGAATCAATGTGTCTCTTTTACTCCAGTGTTGGTGTGCTGTTAGATGGGGACAGACGGCAATTTATTTATTCATCTCTTCCCATGACTCTTAGTATTTAATTTATTTAATTTGAATGCCAGGTGGTTCATCAACATTCAATAAGAAATTACTAATACGCAGAAAATAGTAATGTGCTGACACAATTCAATGAAAATATTATTTTAGAGCAAAATCATGCAATTGAAGTCCAGTCCTATTTTGAGTCCACATTCCTCCACTATGGCTTCAATTAAACAAAAAAACAATTCTCATAACATGCGCCCACAATTCTACCAAATTATAATATTAATGAATATTGTTGGGTTAAATTATGTAGTTAGGTAGGATTCATAATCGTCGTCAAAGATTTGATGGCCTGAAAACAATCTGGATTGGATTATGTCTAATCTTTTTAGGACTAAGTATAGTAGAATTATGTCTAATACAATATTTAAACCCATATAACAGCACATTTCAATTAATTAAATTCTTTAATTATGTGTAGTGATGAGTCGATTTTATATTATATATTTAACCATATTCTTAGTATATTTTGGTTAATATTTTGGAAGAAGTTTGATACTTTGAATTATATTTCCAATATAGGACTTTCGACTCTCTCTGGAGCAAAACATAATCAAATGGACGAATTTTGGAGTAATTCCAGTTGGAGGACGTACGTGAGTCACTTAGCTTGATCGTATCAAAATATCAGACTTTTACACTAAGCGATGATTTCCTGGTGAATAAATGAAGGAGCGATGTGCAGTGCTGGAATAGTGACGTTTTGGGCTTATATTGCGTTTTTGGAGCCCAAGATGACCTCGGATGGGTTCGTGGCCTTCTGGAGAAGTGTTCGGAATATTTTTATCTTTAAAAATTTAAGCTTCTTTTCACTGCAATTTAGCGATCTCCTTTTAGAACTTCTTTTTGGCTTTTGAAGCAATTGCTAGGGTTTTGGATTTTCGCTACTTTCAGGTGTTTTCATTCTTACTCATTCTAATGATATTTTCTTGGATTTCAATTGTGATTATGTGTAACTAATTCCCTTTGCTAGGGCGAGGCCGTAAGCCTTAGCATGAATATGTAGTTTTATTAATTTGCTTATGAATGGATGCACATTTGCTTTGAATTATTAATCACTGTGTTTAAAACTATCTATCTATTTTAATGATTGATCACCATTAGGATATGTAGACAAGTAATTTGATGCAATTTCTGTTGGAACATCACCCTGAAATTGAGGAGGGCTTCTTGTGATTAGTAATTGTAAGTTCACTTAAGGCGAACATCACGCTCTTAAGGGTTGCATGGTTTTTCAAAGGGTTTTCACAAAGCTTAATGAGTCTTGCATGTTTAGATTTGATCTGAACATCACAGACGGATTGCATGTTAGATATACGTTTTCGCTTGAACATCACAAGGAAAATATGCATTAGGAAAACCTAACCTTCAAAGCATATATGTGGAAATTCATAAGTAATTGATAGAATTGCATAGGATTGCGACGGTGTTGGCTAAACCCTAGTTTTCTCTAAATTCTTAGTCTTTAAAAAGAAATCGAACAAAAAAACAATTCTCATTACATGCGCCCACAATTCTACCAAATTATAATATTAATGAATCTTGTTGGGTTAAATTATGTAGTTAGGTAGGATTCATAATCGTCGTCAAAGATTTGATGGCCTGAAAACAATCTGGATTGGATTATGTCTAATCTTTCTAGGACTAAGTATAGTAGAATTATGTCTAATACAATATTTAAACCCATATAACAGCACATTTCAATTAATTAAAGAAAATCCTATCATGTAGTACTAAACACATCATTTTAATCATGGGGAATCAAACCTAGAACCCTTAGTGTAGCAGAAAAACTTGTATGAAATAGGGATAGCATTGTTTTGCTTTCCCCAACCAATCACAAACTGACACGTGAAAAAGTTATCACTTGTGGCATGCCATGATTAGTCAGAGATAGCAAAATAGTGCTATCCCCGTTTCATACAAGTGTTTCTCCGAGTGCAAAGGTAAGTGCTTTTAAGCACTTGAGCATACAAGTCCCTTGAGTGCCAAAAACATCATTAGATTACTGTTATCATTTCAAATCCAATTCAGCCTAATGTAATCTAATTCAACCTCATAATCCAATCCAATTAAAGTCCCCAAACACAAATATATTGCAAAAATTAATTGTTCAATGATAATGTCAGCCCATCCTCATGAGACAATTAATAAAGCATCATCATTAGTCAGCAATAATCTTCGTAAATCACCCAAAACATGGACAAAAGATTAAACTAGTCAAACACCTTGTGGGAAGATGAATTTTGACAACCAATCAAAAACTAAAACGTGGAAAAAGGAATTCTTTAGGTCAAATAATTGTGCTAATTAAATCCTATTTAATTAGCCAATTATCCTTATTTAAGATAGGAATATCTCCCTAAATCAAAGATTCGATTTCCACCAAATCTCCTTGATATTATCGTGTCATCTCACTTAAGGAAAAGAATAATTCATATCAATAGGGAATTATTCTCCACAAACCCTACTTAGAGGCTCTATATAAAGATGGCATCTCACCGCACATGAGGTAATTCCAAAAAAAATAGCAAAGCACACGCTACTCTCTTTCTCTATTCCTTTCTCACGGCTCCGCGCTCTCATCCCACTTCCCAACGCACGCGCCTCCTCCTTTCACATAGAAGAAAACTTCATCCTTTTAATTAAATAGCATCTCCTTGAGACCATTTACTGGCATAGGCATAAGAGGGCATTTGACCAACATCTCCTGGGTGTTCTCCGTTGATGGCATTTATTTTGCAGGGTTCGTGGAAGAAGGAGATCGAGATAGAAGAGATGATCATCCGTGAATATTCTACTTAGAATTTATTTGTACAAACAAATTGGTACTTTTATAGCCGTGCGGCTATACTGTATTTTTTGACCTTTTGTTTTTACTAAAATTAACATAATACGTTTCAAACGTATAGCCAGGCGGCTATACTGGGGGGTTTATTTTTAAGGGAGTTTCACTAAAACACCCAAAATAGGGGCTGAAATTATAAAAAAACCCAACACCCAAAACACTTTATAAACACACCCAAAACCCATCATTACACACACTCAAAACTCATTTATAAACACACCCAAAAAATATACAATTATTGATTTTGGGGTTGATTTTGGGTGTGTTTCTATGTTTAAATAGTGTTTGGGTTTTTTTATAAATACATGTCTAGGATTGGGTTTATTTATAAATTTGTATATTTTTAATTTCATTAAAAAATAGTATTGCCGCTCGGCCATACTTTTAAAATACATTTGGTACTTGGAATTTGGGTCATACTAGGTAATTGGAAGTTGGCCCACACAAGGTAATTGAAAGTTGGGCCAAGTAGAAACCAATTGGGCATTGAATATATAATATACAACATTTATTTATCAAAAAGATGCCTTGGACCTTGGGGCACTTGGGCTTTGTTTTTTGTTTTTTTATAGACGGTAATATTTGAATGAGACTTCTACAAATTTTAGCTTACCAAGTATGAAGATTTGGTAAGAAAATTCCAAATTTCATTTGGATTTATATGGAACTTACCATGTACTTTGAATCAATGTGTCTCTTTTACTCCAGTGTTGGTGTGCTGTTAGATGGGGACAGACGGCAATTTATTTATTCATCTCTTCCCATGACTGTTAGTATTTAATTTATTTGATTTTAATGCCAGGTGGTTCATCAACATTCAATAAGAAATTACTGATACGCAGAAAATAGTCATGTGCTGACACAATTCAATGAAAATATTATTTAGAGCAAAATCATGCAATTGAAGTCCAGTCCTATTTTGAGTCCACATTCCTCCTCTATGGCTTCAATTAAACAAAAAATAATTTTTGTGTCCAATTTAGTTGCGTTAAAATTGATTCAGTTGCATCCTCAAATTGTGATACATGTAATCACACGAGCCGTTAGATAGTATAGCATATGTAAGTGTGAGGTCGATCCCACGAGGATTGATGATAGATTTTTCAATTCGATTCCCTGTACAAAATAGAAAACAAGAAAGAAAATAACAAAAACAAGAAAGAAAGAGAATAACTAACTTAAGCAAATCAATTAACAAGTTCAATTCAGATTTACAGATTGATTCTAGCTAAAGTATGATTAAGCCATAGTGTCTGGTCCTAACCTTGTATTCCTAATTCCTTAATTAGATTATTTGTTGTCGAACCTAAATTAAGAATTAGAAATCCATTAAGCATAAAAGAATGTTTTAAATAACCAAATATGTATCTTATCCTTGTTGTCGATTGAATGTCCATACATACTTTTCCTATTCATAGTTCAATTCGAATTAAGGCATATGGTATCTATTCCTAATTCCA